ATTCAATGAAGGCTGGGACCACTTGGGTTTTGTTCTCTAATGCAGGGGTCCCCAACCTCCGGGATCTAATGCCTGATGATCTGAAATGGAGCTGATACTGATATAATAATAATAGAAATAAAGTGCACAATAAATGTAATGTACTTGAATCATCCTGAAACCATTCTGCTCCCCCTCCCTCCCCCAGGAGGAATGAAAACCTCAGGAATGAAACCGATTCCTGATGCCAATAATGTTGGGGACTGCTGCTCTAATGCACACTTGATACCTAGCGTATAGCATGGCAATAACAGGTACCCTATAAATATTTTTTGAATGAATAGATTAATTCAAAATTTAACCATACCCCAGCTGTGGTCTAATCAAAGAGCAAAGTAGAACCATCCTTTATACTGGATGTTATTCAGATTAGTGTGTCCTAACATTACCTTATTTTTATCAGTTATGATAGACACTTGACTTTCATTCAGCCTGCTGCTGCTGCTGCTGCTGCTAAGTCACTTCAGTCGAGTCCGACTCTGTGCAATCCCATAGACAGCAGCCCACCAGGCTCTTCTCTCCCTGGGATTCTCCAGGCAAGAACACTGGAGTGGGTTGCCATTTCCTTCTCCAATGCATGAAAGTGAAGTGAAAGTTAAGTTGCTCAGTTGTGTCCGAATCTTCAAGACCCCATGGACTGTAGACTACCAGGCTCCTCCGTCCATGGGATTTTCCAGGCAAGAGTACTGGAGTAGGTTGCCACTTAGCCTAGGGTTATTCAAAACCAGAAGTCTTTGTGAACTGAACTACTGATAATAGGTGAGGATTTCTCAAATCCTTTCATACAAAGCAGACATTCTAAGCACAAGTGCAGAATTTATCCTATTAGTTTTTAGCTACTTATTTTCCAAACTTATCTCTGCCATCCCGTATATTAAGTATTTTTCTCAGATTCGAATTATTGACAAGTGGAACAGACCTGATCTCTACGTAGCCACGGCTGAGAATATTAAGTTCAACACTGCTGAGGACAAAGTACAGTGCATTTCCACATAAGACATTTACTGATGCTGACAAGACCCACTAATTAACACTTTTGTAGAATGACCATACATACCTTATACGTACTATCATCCAGCATTTTCCCTGTCATAAAAATTTAGACAACTATTTCTTTTGAGAAGTGGAATGGGCACAAAATATGAGCTAGAAAGAAAGTTCATAAAATTTGATAAATTACTATAAAGATATTCTTAACCTTCGAGCATGACCCATCAGGGAGGTGGCTGCTGCTAACAGGATGCATGGCTGGACTATCTTGTGTCCTTTTTTCTTTGTAAAAGAACATTTATTAAAGTTACCCTTGCCTAAGTCTTTCTTACTGCCAGGAAAAGTGAAAAATAATGTAAGAGGAAGTGACACAGACGGCAAGCCATTTAACCTCACCAGGTATCTATAAAATGACAGAGGGGGACCACCTGATCATAAAGTCTTTCTAGCTCTAATTGGCTACTGGTTGAAAATTGAATGTGCTATCTTCTTCAAATCATATTTGAATTTACAGCTTCCTCTAAATATAACCCAGTGGTGTGAATGATGTAAGGAATTTTGAATATGAGATGCTCTGATTCAGGAATACTTTCTCTGTGCCTTTCAAATCAAGCCAGATACGTAGTTACCTATACCTAAACTTCTCATCTCAAAATCACTTCACATAAGTATTATAACTCTGTTTGCTATCATTTATGTATTTAATAAACTTTACAAAGGCAAAGTTCTGTTTTACCTCAAGCTTCATTTAACTTTATTTTTAATATAGTCATAACATTTCAAATATAAAATAAGGGTTTAGAACTGAATAACTCACCATAATTTGGTTTCTGCAGAATTACAGTGTGAAAATGACAACTTTATAGATTCGGAACACTACAGGAAAAAAAAATTAACATTCTACAAACTAACTTAAAATGCCACGAAGTGCCTTGATCTGAATCAGAGTCTATGGAAACAGTGCTTCCAAGGTAAAGAAGTAAAGGAATAACTTGAAACTTATGAAATGGAATCTGAAAGAAAATGCCTTAAGAGGCATGATAACAGTCTTGAAATGACTTTCTCTAGTAAACATGAAGGGTTTCCAGGTGGCACAGTGGTAAAGTATCTGCTTGCCAATTCAGGAGACACAAGAGATTTGGGTTCAATCCCTGGGTGGGGAAGATCTCCTGGAGAAGGAAATGGCAACTGACTCCAGTACTCTTGCCTAGAAAATTCCAGGGACAGAGGAGCCTGGCAGGGTACAGTCCATGGGAATGAAAGAGTAACAACACCACTGAGTGACTGAGCATACACACACAGGAAACAGGAAATAGAACACAATCTCCCCAATCAAGCATTTCATAAAGATAAACTTTCCTTTCAAATAGTGTCTACATTCAAATGCAAGAAAAGGACAGGTATACACTTCAAACACTTATATTTTCATGTGGTAAGTCCTAATCAGAAAAGAAGAAATGTATTCTGACCACTTAGGTTTTCCTAGTTCCCAAAAGACAAATGTACTAATGTGTTAACGTGTTTGTTTTATGTAGGCAAATTTTGGGCATTTATAATCTGTAAGAACCAGGATTAAGGACTCCCTAACAATATCCAGTATTGCATCTATTTGGTATTATATTTTAAAACTGTTTATTATTATCTGTGTACAACTTTTTAATGGTAACCTTGTGCTGCTGCTGCTAAGTCACTTCAGTCGTGTCTGACTGTGCGACCCCACAGACAGCAGCCCACCAGGCTCCCCCGTCCCTGGAATTCTCCAGGCAAGAACAATGGAGTGGGTTGCCATTTCCTTCTCCAATGCATGAAAGTGAGAAGTGAAAATGAAGTCTCTCAGTCGTATCTGACTCTTCGTGACCCCATGGACTGCAGCCTACCAGGCTCTTCCGTCCAAGGGATTTTCCAGGCAAGAGTACTGGAGTGGGTTGCCATTGCCTTCTCCAACCTTGTACTAGGACACCTTAATGAAATCTCTTTGGTTTTGAACATTTCTCAGCTCATTATCTCAGGTCTTCTAAATAATGATATCAGCAGCAAATGATAATTTTGCGTTTTTCTTTCTGAATTTTACCTCCTGTTTTTCTTTTGAGTAGTTAAACTAATGTCCCCAGAATAAAGGTAAAGTGCAAAGACAATTAACCCCGTGCCTTGGTATTAGTGTTTCATGTGATGGTTGCTTTAGGTTTAAAACACACACACATATAAAATACATTTTATGTTTTACATTTATATAAATATCATACATGAAATGAATAACTTATATTCAAAACTTTAATAGAAGATGAATGCTGAACTTCATCAAACTACACCTCAACATAAATGGAGAAAATGAAATGAAGCTTTTCCTTTTCATTATTAACATGGCTAATTATATTAACAAATTTCCTAATATTAAACAATGACTGCATTCCTGATATAAATTACATTTACATATGGTTAATGTATTAGGCTTTTTAATGAGTTTATGGTTTATATTAATACTGAATATTTCTCCATTTATAGTCTTAATCTGAGCTTTCACTGTCAAGGGCCCAGATTCAATCCTTGGTCAGGATTAGGGAACTAATCCTGCTACTGTGGGGCACTAGAATGGAATGGAATGGATCAGAACATCTCAACCACATGGGGTTATTTCAGGGAATCGTAGAAAGGAAAAAATAAAATACACATACACACACATATATACTGAGAAAAAAGGTGGGATTCACATCAAATATAAACAGCTGACTTCCACTATATACAAAGATTTCCAGTATATTATTAAGATTAAGAGCCAATAAACTTAGTAGAATGAAGGGCAAAGAACACAGACAATTGACAGGAAAAAAGTATAAATGACTCTACAAGTATGAAAAAATGTTAAGCTGCATTTAATAACATAAGAAGACTGACGTGCATTAAAACTACTATCAGATCACATTGGCAAGAAAAATAATTTCTCTTTGAATATGTCAGTAAGGTGTGAGGAAAGAGATAATCATATTGCTGGTAGGAATATAAATTGGTATAAATTTTGAGAAGCATAATTTGCAAATGTCTAAAAAATATACAAATGCAAATGCCCTTTGTATGAGCAATTCCATTTATAATAAATTTGTGTTAGACTTATTCCCATGTACTGACTATATAACACGGAACACTAAAATACCTAGTAATTATGGAGTGCTCACTATGTGCCAGTCACTATTCAAGACCTCATAACATAAGCTCATTTAAGGCACATAATAACTCAAAGGAAGGAATAATTATTCTCTTTTCTGAGCTGAAGAAATTGAGGGATAGAGAAGTAAAGTTACTTTCTTAAATGAAATACCTGGTAGGTATTGAATGTGAAAATAAAACATAGGTAGTCTAACTCTAATTTTGCATGCTCTTTGCCACTATAATACATAGTAGACTGCATAAATAAATTACAGTGCATCCAAGCACTGAAATACACAGCAACATTTAAAAAGAATATTAAAGCTTTTCTAGTAGCTGATATTCAAAGATCTCCAATATACAGTCGATGAAGACAGCAAACTACAGAACAAAGTGTACTGTATAATACTATACATGTAGAAATAAAATGAAATAATATTATACATACATAACCATATATGTTTTTCATGCATTCAGTACCTACAGAAAAATACGTAAGAAACTGCCAACACTGGTTACCTGGGAAGGGAAATGGTTAACTGGAACACACGAGCAAAGTGGCACTTACTTACCATTTCTGTACAATGTGCACATCCATCTGGTCGACACAAATAAATAATTTTAAAAATGAAAAGTAAAAAAGAAATAAAGAAAAACTTCCATTATCTACTCCTTTTTTTCATTCTATATATGGGTCATTCACCCAAGATTTTACTTCAGATTATTCCATAGCTACCACAAGTTTATAAAAGCCTGGGGGAAAAAAAATTAACAGAGCTTAATGTTCAAGGTAAATAGGATTAAAAGTTACAGAAAACAGTTTTTCGTACCTGACATGTGCATTACAGTATCTTTTGGCATACTCAGTCCATGTTCCAAATTTTTGTGGAAAGAGAGCTTCAATCTGCATGAAAAGCTGTAACAATATAGGTATTCTCAATGTGCTGTAATATTTTCAAGTTAATTGCTGTTACTATAAGTCCAATTAATGAAACAGTAAAAACAAAAATGTACCTCTTTTTCCTCAAGGCTCTTCCTTCCCCTCTACTACCCATCCCTGCCATCCTGTTTTTCAGAACTAACTCCTATCCCTTTCTTCAATATATATTTATATATTTTGTACACCTATATATGCATATTTATAATTCTCTTTTATTTACATGATCATATAACATACACAATTAGAATTTTTTCCCCCAAGTCTACTTTAGACATCATTAAAGTACATATACATCTATCAATCATCTATCCATCCATCCATCCATCTATCCATCCCCCATCTGCATTTCTAATAGATGGGTTTATACAGTCTGTTTTTAGAAATTATGGCATGTTTTTAAAATTTTGATAGATGTTACCATGCTGCATTGTAAAAGGATGGTACCAATTTATATTCCCATCAATAGAATCATAAAATCTTTTAATTTTCATAACTTTAATAGGCTGTATACAGCATTTCACTGTTAATAAGCTTTTTAAAAAACAACAGTTTTATTGAGATATAAATTCATATACCACTTTTACTGTTCATTTTTAAAGTGTATATTTCAGTGGCTTTTAGTATATTCAAAATGTGCCTTGATCACCACTATCTAATTCTGGAACATTTTTATCACTCCAAAAATAAAATCTATACCCATTACTAGTCATTTTTTATTCCCACTCTCTCCCGAACTTGGCAACCACTAATATATTTCCATCTCCAAGAATTTGCTTATTTTGGACATTTCATATAAATAGAATCCTAAAGTATGTAGTCTTTGTGTCTGGCTTTCCCTGAGCATAATGTCTTCAAGGTTCATCCATTCTGTAGAGTATATTAGTACTTTATCCTTTTTACAGCTGCATTTTGTTTATCTATTCAGCAGTTATAGACACTGGCTTTTTTCCACTTTTTGGATGTCATTAAGATCAGCTATATATTCAATTCTCTTGGGTATATACCTAGTAATGGCATTGCTAGGTACTATAGTAATTTGATTTTCAGTTTATTAAGGAACTGCCAAAATGTTTTCCAACGTGGCTTTGCTGCTTTGAAAAGCGTGAAAGTGTTAGTCGCTCAGTTGTGTTCGCCTCTTTGTGACTGTAGCCCACTAGGCTTGTCTGTCCATGGAATTCTCCAGGCAAGAATACTGGAGTGGGTAGCCATTCCCTTCTCCGGGGGATCTTCCTGATACAGGTATTGGACCCGGGTCTCTTACATTGTAGGCAGGCTAAGCCATCTAAGCCTTACCATCTAAGCCTCCAGGAAAGCCTTTACATCCTTTTTATATGACAACATACTCCTAAATAACAAATTGTCCAAAGAAGAAGAAAGAAGGGAAATTAGACAAGACTTTGGAATAAATGAAATTGAGACAATAACATACCAAAATTCAGATCCAGTGAAAGCAGTGCTTAGAGTAAAATTTTATCTGTATATGTTTGTTATTAAAAAAGAAGAAAGTTCTCAAATTAATCATCTAACTTTTAACATTAAGACACTGGAAAAGAAAACTATACCCAAAACAAACAGGAGATATAATATAATTAAGACTAGAATGGAAATAGAGAATGGAAAATACAGAAATAAATCAACGAAACAAAAAGTAGGTTCTTAAAGAGATCAACAAAATTGACAAAATTTTAGCTATGACTGAGAAAAACAAGATGACTCAAATTACTAAAATTAAGAACAAAAGAGGGGACACCACTTAGCCTCACAGAAATAATGAAATATTATAAGAAAATTCTATGCACAAATGTATGCCAATATATTAGATAATTTAGATGAAATGGGCAAATTCCTAAAAAGATACAATACCAAAACTGATTCTAAACTAAATAATCAATCCGAATAAACATTTATTCAGTGAAGAGAAAGTTGTTAACCTAAATCCATCCACAAGGAAAAGTTTAGACCCAAATAGCTTAACTATCAAATTCACCAAATATTTAAAAAATACCAATGTTTTGCAAAATCTTTCAAAATATAGTAGAGAAGGGAACTTTTCCACGTCATTCTTTGATACCAGTAATACTTTAATAACAAAACTGGACCAAGATAGAATAAAAAACCACTACAAATCAATATCTCTTATGAATACAGACATAGTAATGACTGTCAACAAAATATTAACAGACTGAATCCAGAAGTATATGAAAGGATTATATATTATGACCAAGTGAGTTTTATCTTAGATGCAAGGTTGGTTTAATATGTGAAAGTCAATTATTATACTGTAGCCTATCAATAAAGGACAAAAACATATGAGTACCTCAATAATGAAGAAAAGGCATTTGACAAAGCTCAACATCCTTTCATGATTAAACACTCAATAAACAAGAGGTAGAAAGGAACTTACTCAACCTGATAAAGGAAATCTACAAAAACCCACCATTAACAAGGGTTTAGAAAAGGCAGAGGAACCAGAAATCAAACTGCTAACATTCTTGAGATCATAGGGAAAGGAATGCAGTTCCATAAAAACATCTACTTCTGCTTCATTGACTGAGCTATCAGGGTTTCCCTGGTAGCTCAGAGAGTAAAGAATCTGCCTGCAATGCAGGAGACTCAGATTCCATTCATGGTCCAGGAAGTTCCTCTAGAGAAGGAAATGGCAACCCACTCTAGTATTCTTGCCTGGATGGAGAATTCAATGGACAGAGGAACCTGGCGGGTTACATTCCATGGGGTCACAAAAGAGTCAGATACTACTAAGCAACTATCACTCTGCTTCATTGACTAAGCTAAAGCCTTTGACTGTGTGGATCACAGCAAGTTGGAAAATTCTTAAAAAGATGGAAATACCAGACCACATTACCTGTCTCCTGACAAAATTGTATGCAGGTCAAGAAGCAACATAACTGGACATGGAATAATGGACTGGTTCCAAACTGGGAAAGGAGTACATTAAGGCTGTATATTGTCACCCTTCTTATTTAACTTATATGCAGAGTATATCATACAAAACATTGGGCTGGATGAATAACAAGCTAGAATCAAGTTTGCCCAGAGAAATATCAACAACCTCAGATATGCAGATTATACCATTCTAATGGCAGAAAGTGAAGAAAAACCAAAGAGCCTCTTGATGAGGGTGAAAGCGGAGAATGAAAAAGCTGGCTTGAAACTCAACATTCCAAAAGCTAAGATCATGGCATCCACTTCCATCACTTCATGGCAAACAGAAGCAGAAAAAGTGGAAGCAGTGATAGATTTTCTATTTGGGAGCTCCAAAATCACTCTAGACAGTGACTGCAGCCAAAAAATTAAAAGATGCTTGCTCCTTGCAAGAAAAGCTGTGACAAACCCAGACAGCATATTAAAAAGCAGAGATATCACTTTGCCAACAAAGGTCCATATAGTCAAAGCTATAGTTTATCCAGTAGTCATATATGGATTTAAGAATTGGACCATAAAGAAGGCTGAGAGCTGAAGAATTGATGGTAAGTCAATCCTAAAGGAAATAAACCCTGAATATTTACTGGAAGGACTGATGCTCAAGCTGAAGCTTCAATACTTTGCCCACTTGATGTGAAGACCAGACTCACTGGAATAGGCCTTCATGTTGGGAAAGTTCAATTCAGTTTAGTCGCTCAGTCATATCTAACTCTTTGCGACCCCATGGACTGCAGTACACCCTGACCATCACCAACTCCCGGAGTTTACTCAAACTCATGTCCATCGAGTCGGTGATGACAACCAACCATCTCATCCTCTGTCGTCCCCTTCTCCTCCCACCTTCAATCTTTCCCAGCATCAGGGTCTTTTCAAATGAGTCAGCTCTTCACATCAGGTGGCCAAAGTATTGGAGTTTCAGCTTCAACATCAGTCCTTCCCATGAATATTCAGGACTGATTTCCTTTAGCATGGAGTGGTTGGATCTCCTTGCAGTCCAAGGGACTCTCAAGAGTCTTTTCCAGCACCACAGTTCAAAAGCATCAATTCTTCAGTGCTCAGCTTTCTTTATAGTCCAACTCTCACATCCATACATGACTACTGGAAAAACCATAGGTTTGACTAGACGGACCTTTATTGGCAAAGTAATGTCTCTGCTTTTTAATATGTTAAGTTAGTCATAACTTTCCTTCCATGGAGTAAGCATTTTCCTTCCATGGAGTAAGCGTCTTTTAATTTCATGGCTGCAATCACCATCTGCAGTGATTTTGGAGCCCCAAAAATAAAGTCTGTCACTGTTTCCCCATCTATTTGCCATGAAGTGATGGGACCGGATGCCATGATCTTAGTTTTCTGAATGTTGAGTTTTAAGCCAACTTTTTCACTCTCCTTTTCACTTTTATCAAGAGGCTCTTTAGTTCCTCTTCACTTTCTGCCATAAGGATGGTGTCATTTGCATATCTGAGGTTATTGGTATTTCGCCTGGCAATCTTGATTCCAGCTTTTGCTTCCTCCAGCCCAGCGTTTCTCATGATGTACTCTGCATATAAGTTAAGTAAGCAGGGTGACAATATACAGCCTTGACATACTCCTTTTCCTATTTGGAACCAGTCTGTTGTTGCATGTCCAGTTCTAACTGTTGCTTCCTGACCTGCATACAGCTTTCTCAAGAGGCTGGTCAGGTGTTCTGGTATTCCCATCTCTTTCAGAGTTTTCCACAGTTTACTGTGATCCACACAGTCAAAGGCTTTGGCATAGTCAATAAAGTCAATTCCAATCCCCAAGAAAGGCAATGCCAAAGAATGTTCAAACTACCACACAACTGCACTCATCTCACACGCTAGCAAAGTAATGCTCAAAATTCTCCAAGTCAGGCTTCAAGAGTATGTGAACCATGAACTTCCAGATGTTCAAGCTGGTTTTAGAAAAGGCAGAGGAACCAGAGTTCAAATTGCCAACATCCGCTGGATCATCAAAAAAGCAAGAGCGTTCCAGAAAAACATCTCTTTCTGCTTTACTGACTACGCCAAAGCCTTTGACTGTGTGGATCACAGCAAACTGTGGGAAATTCTGAAAGAGATGCTGGGAAAGATTGAAGGCAAAAGCAGAGCGGGCGGCAGAGGATGAGATGGTTAAATAGCATCACTGACTCGATGGATACGAATCTGAGCCAACTCTGGGAGGTAGTGACGGACAGGGAAGCCTGGCATGCTGCAGTCCTTGGGTTCGCAGAGTCAGATGCGGCTTAGTGACTGAAGAACAAAACAAGGGTAATACTTAAAGGTGAAAGACTGAGTGTTTCTCATAATATTAGGAACAAAATAAAGATGCCCACACTTGCCATTTCCATTCCAAACTCTACTGGAAATTCTAGCCAGGATAATTAGGCAATTTAAATACAATCTTGCGTACAGAAAATCCTAAGCAGTCCACTGAAAACTATTAGAAGTAATTAATGAGTTTGCCAAGGTTGCAGTATACATGGTCAATATGCAATCGACTGTATTTCTACAAATGAAATTGATAAAACAATTCCACTGACAACAGCATCAAAACGGATAAAATATTTAACAAAAGAAGCAGAAGACTTATCCTATTACAACTACAAAGCACTGTTGGAAACTTAAAACCTACATAAACTGAAAGATATCCCAAGTTTATGAATTTGAAGACGTAATATTGTTAACATGGCAATACATTCCAAACTGATCTACGGCTCCTACACAATAACTATGAAAATCTAAGCTGGATTCTCTACAAAAGTAGCCAAGTTATTAAAAAGAATTCTTAGGAAAATTCAAGGGACCTAGAACATTCAAAATGATTTTGCAAAAGAAAAACAGAGTTGCAAGACTCACACTAGTTTCAGAACTGCTAATTTAGAATTTATAATCTTAATACTTTTTTGGTGAAGAATCCCAAACATCCCCAGTTTGTATAACCATCATAATCTACAAAACCAGGATTTACCCTTGCATGGAATAGCATGTATCCTGGGTGAGGCATGAAGGTACTGGCATGTAATTACAGGGGACATACGGACCACTACCATATTGTCAGTGTTCGCTTTCTTATGGTAAGTAATCAATAAGTGATTATTCATTTTACTATCACCATGCAGAATACACATATCTTTTATATACTCCCATTCTGAAATGATACATTTTGTGTATTTTTATAAAGATATAATGAACCCCACAATCCAGGGACATAATTTTGGAACATAAGGAAATTACCTGGGGTCCACTCTTCCACTTCTAGTATTTACAACAAAAATATAAAAGGTAAATTGAGAATTTTACCATCATTCTCTATGTACTTTTATGTGTCTTTCAGAAGACTTCCAGAGCAAAGAACAAATGCAGAGCCATGGTAACACTAGGAGAGATGTGACGCCACAGCTCTCTCAGAGCTGGCTTATTACAAGTGTATACTAAATATAAAAAGCTTGTAATAAAGGTAAAAGCCATATATAAATATACCTATAAGCACGGCTAAGCTTCACACATACATAGATAAAAACAGTCATGGTAACAGATATACTTAGCCATAAATAGAAGCCTAGAATTTTTCAATGTGCTCTTATGGCATTTGAAGCATCTAATTTAAAAATTATAAAAACAGTGATTGATTGCATTTTTTCTTTAAGCCCAAAATATAAGGAATTTAATACCTCTTCGGGTCTTCCCAGAGCTGGAGTTCCTGTAAGCAGAATGGCTCGTTTGGCTTTCTGTACAATGGGCAATAGAATCCGGCTGCGAGTTGCACTTCTGGACTTCATGTAGTGTGATTCATCTACAATCACGACTTTGAAGTTCTGATTACTCAGTGCATCTATCAAAGTCTCCGCATCTGTGGTTAAAAGGCCATAACCCAGAACTGTCACTTTGCTGGTTGATATTCTCCTAGAAAACATAATCCATGTATTTAAAAACTATTTTGGTAACCAATGTATCATAGACAATACATTTCTTAGGGAAGAAATACAGAGGAGAAAGAAGAGGAAAAATAAGAAGAGATGATACAACGCTGAAACCCAAAGTCTCTTAATTCACCATCTTCAAATTTGATAAATCAGAATCCGAATTTAAAATCTGGTTAAGAAAACGAAATTTTTAGTTAAATGGTCTTTGGAATATTTTGACATCCAGGTCGTCACATTTTACTAGGATAATAAGAAAATTACTTTCTGGAAATATTTGCTTCAGTGCATCTAGAACTCTTGCATATAAAGTAGGTAACTCAAAGATTAGTTGACTATACAATGAAGGTCAGCAGTGTTTTTCATGTCGGGTGCTACTGTGATTTTGAGCAAGATGATACTTCATGTTACAGGTCTATCCAGAGCACGGCAGGGCATTTCACATTCTTGAACCCTCTCATTAAAGGCCATTAGAGTCCTCATCACTGTGACAACAAAAGTGAGGCCCTGGCGTGACATAATTCATATATTTATAATATTCTTTATCATACTGTAATGAAATTATTCATTTATATGTTTATTTCCCTTATTCTATCATAAGATGGGTGAGGACAGGGAATGTGTCTTATTCATTTTTGGATGACAGTGCTGAGTGTGCAGAATGAGTGTGCAGAATGAGATAATTAGAAAAATAAATTCATTAACAATAAAATGTATCACTTTTTCATTTTCTATATGACCAGTGAAAAACACAGGACAATGTCAAGTCTTTTGCAGTTCTCTAATCTCTAACAGAAAATTCAGATCTCCTAAAGAGCCTAATATGAGTACTAATATTAGCACTAGAGTACTAATATGACAATTTTTGCATTTTTCTCTGAAGGACAACTGCATTTATACCTTGGATAAATCCACTCAATATAGAGACTTATGAATTTGCTCCTGTAGTCAAATACAGGAAGAAGCTGCATGAGAAAATTTGGGGGTTAATATTACTCACTTAGATACACTAAGAGTAATATATAAAGGACAAGGGCTTCAAACATCACTGTAGCTGCTGTCCTGCCATGTCTAGACTAATAGACAGTCCAGGCATAACTGGTATATGACAAAAGGAAGTATATGTATTTGCAGTAAATCCATGTTGCCACTTGTTGCTATATACCTAAAACTATTTAAGTACCTGGAAGACATTGGGTAAGTTTTTCTGCCCTTAGCTATCATCCTGCAGAAAAGTTACATGCTGGGGTTGAAGCACTATCTAAAGACCCCAAATGTTATTCATTTAAAAACATTAGCCTCTGTTTTAATTGCAAGAGTATAGTTTCAAAATAGTAATAAAAATGAGAAGACTTAAATGCTATAAATATGATAGAGGGATATTATAAGAATACTTTAAACTTTTAAATAAAGTATAGCTTACAGAAAATGATTATAGAGGCTATAATAAATTCTACATTCTCTAAACTATTAAGTCTTAAATTTCATGCAGTTTTATTAAAAAAGAGGAAATTTTTCATAATTATTACCTACATTTTATTTTGACTATGCAAATATAGTGTGTAAATTTTCTGGGGCCCAAGAAGACATATTTTACTGAATTAGAATTCCAAGGCTGAAAGAGAAAAAGGCAGCTAGCTATTTTGTCTGGTTCCTCTTTCCACATTCACAAAGGCCAACTTTATTTCTACAAATACATTTTATGTTAACAATCTTAGAGAATAAAATATAGAAGAATAATACCACACACAAAAGAATCTAACAAAAGTATTACATATTTATTTCTAGTAGAAACATAACTTTTTATTTGTGACTCAGAAATGGTAATTCTGAGCTTCTAGGAACATGACAATTTGCATAATTCACCTAGAAACTCGATGTAATAAATTATTAATATTCAAATTGATTGGTTTATTCCAATGGCTGGAAAACAAAATGAGAAAAAGATAGTAACTATATTATGAGTTTAGAATAAGGACTTCAAACAATCACAAAACAAATATTTTCAATACAGAAAATATTACAACTATAAATTAAAATAATAAAAAAGTAAAACTGCCTAAGATTAATTTTGAGTTACACATAAAACTTGCATATAAACTAACAACTTAGAATGCAAAACCTGACATAGTTGCTGATAATAAAAGCTCACAAACTTCAAGTTAATCACTGAAAAGTTGGAAAATTTATTTTTCAACTTCAAAATAGTGAATTTAAAGTATATTTAAGGTATATACAAAACAAGTATATTCATATGTTTTTAAAGCATGTATATTTTACATTTAAAAAATATACCATAAAGGAACATATAACATTAAATATATGGTTGGCTTTTAGATAGGTAATTCATATTTTAAAATGGAAAATAAAATTCTCTACATTACTTTCTTATGGGGAAACAATGGAAATAGTGACAGACTTTATTTTCTTGGGCTCCAAAATCACGCAGATGGTGACTGCAGCCATGAAATTAAAAGATGCTTGCCCCTTGGAAGAAAAGCTATGACCAACTTAGCATATAAAAAAGTAGAGATACTACTTTGCCAAAAAAGGTCCATCTAGTCAAAACTACAGTTTTTCCAGTAGTCATATGTGGATGTGAGAGTTGGACCACAAAGAAGGCTGAGCACTGAAGCATTGATCCTTTTGAACTGTGGTGTCAGAGAAGATTCTTGAAAGTCCCTTGGACTGCAACGAGATCCAACCAGTCCATCCTAAAGGAAATCAGTCCTGAATATCATTGGAAGGACTGATGCTGAAGCTGAGGCTCCAGTATTTTTGCCACCTGATGCAAAGAGCCAACTCATCAGAAAAGACCCTGATGCTGGGAAAGATTGAAGGCAGGAGGAGAAGGGGATGATAGAGGATGAGATGGTTGGATGGCATCACTGACTCAATGGACCTGAGTTTGAGCAAGCTCCAGGAGATGGTGAAGGACATGGAGGCCTGGTGTGCTGCAGTCCATGGGGTCGCAGAGTTGGATATGACTGTGCAACTGAACAACATTACTTTCTTAATTTTAAATTCTGCGATATTTCATTCCAAACACTGCTATACATTAATTATACACAGGAGGGCTTTTTTTCTTAAAGCTTAAAGTTGTTCTTACCCAACATCAGTTTTATTCTGGATGACATTGATTTCTTCAGGACTTAGCTCTGGGATCCACTTCTCTATTTCCTCGGTCCAAGGATACCTCAGAGATGAAGGGACCACCACTAAAAGAGGCCATTCCTCCTTATAGAAGTAAGCGATGCCAATTGCCTGAACAGTCTTTCCTAGACCCATCTAAATTAGAAACAAATAAATAACGTTCAACTATTAAACATTATTAAACAAATTACTAGAAGTTTTTAGTCCAAGAGCAGTTATATTACTAGTTACCATTTCAAAGTTTTAAGGCATAACATTCAAGTACAGAGTCAAGAGTTTTCAAAGTTGAAACAAGATCCAGATGAAGATAAATTTTTTCTATCCTGTATTTTAACAACGAATTGAAGATAAATTAGGCAGGACATGGGAACAGGTTAAGGTAACTTAGGAATGGACACACATGCATACACACATACATAAAGCACAACCTACACATTATAGAATTAAATAATTTAACATCTTAATATTCTATACCTCCTTCCAAGAAATAGCACACAACCCAACCTTTAGTCCTACAGAGTCGAATTTAAGATTTACCTAATGGTAAATCCTAGCTCTAAGAGGAAAGAACAAGCTTTTACAAAACTTACTTCTGTAAATCTGAACCATAGAGTCATTATATACCATTAGATATGTTTCCTAGTCCTTAAAGCCTTCCAATCCTAAAAGCTGAAACCCACTTAAATTAGGTTCTGGTACTAACTTAGTTCCAAGGCAGTAAAGATTTAAGATTTGAGAGATTCTTTAAATCTCTTAACAATTTAAGAGATTTAAGAATCATTACCTGGCTTGGGATCATTAGTGTTACTTCTTTCCTGCATCAACTCTGATCACTGGCACATTTCCAGAAACTGAGTCATGGCCTTATTTTGTGTGTGTGGACCATACCACAAATCTGTGCCATCGTTGTGAGTTCCTGGTTTTGCTTCCTTTCAAGGTTTCATAACTCATTTTCTTAATCTCAGTTTCTCTAGAAACAGGGCTCTCTTTTCTTCCTCAGTATCTTAGGGAATAGGATTCTTTCTTTGGGACTCAGATTCTACCACCAGGTGCTTACATTTTACTTGCTGCTAAATTTACATAGTATCAATGAGCTGCCTACCTGGACTTTGGTGCATTTCACTTAGTGTGACTAACAGTGTTCTGTGTTGGCCTGCCAGGCAACAACTGATGAACCAGTGTTTAAAATTTCCTAATACTGTCTGCTCCTGAGATCAAGGATGTAGGTCTTCCCGGATATTATAAAATGTAGAGGAAAACAGGCAAGACATTCTGAGATAAACTGGAGCAATATTTTTTTTTCAATATATCTCCTGGGGAGTAATGGAAACAAAACCAAAAATAAACAAGCAAGACCTAACTGAACTTAAAAGTTTGCACTGCAAAGGAAAAGATAAACAAGATGAAAACACAATCTACAGAATGGGAGGGAGAAAACAGTTGCAAACAATATGACTGACAAGGGACTCATTTCCAGCATACACAAAAACAACTCATATGTTTCAATATCAAAAAGACAAACAATCCAGTCAAAAAATGAACAGAAGATCTAAATAGACATGTCTCCAAGGAAGACATACAGATGGCCAACAGAAATGAAAAGATGCTCAACATCACTAATATTAGAAAAATGGGAATCAAAACTGCAATGAGGTATCACCTCACACTACTCAGAATTGCCATCATGAAAAAGTTTACAACTAATAAATGCTGGAGAGGGTGTGGAGGAAAAAAGAACCCTTCTACACTGTTGGTAGGAAAATAAATTGGTGTAGCCGCTATGGAAAAGAGTATGGAGGTTTCTTACAAAGCTAAAAATAGAATAACCATATGAACCAGTAATATCACTCCTGGGCATATATCTGGGGAAAACTGATTTGAAAATATACACACACCCCAGTGTTTACAGCAGCACTAAACCCAATTAAAAACTAAATCAGTCTCCTTTCCTTGGAGAGCAAAGAAAAGTCATGTCTTAATATATATCAATAAGCAGGCATTGTGATTTAAACAAAAAGTTTTCCTTGAGTTCTACAGCTTGAGTGAGAAATTTCAGAATCTGACTAACTTGGAATCACTGAAAAGAACAAATTCCTGAATCTGCATAACTGATCAGGTATCTGAATTATCTGAAGATAATACCCTATCCTGGTTGGACAATTCACCTAAAAAATAAGATTCCAGTCTGTTTTTATCTAGTTATCTTTCATGGAAACAACAATTCATTATCTCTTTGTTAAAGATCATGTAGTTAAATGAATAATGGTGATTTCTAGACACTAGAAAGATTTATCTATACTAAGTAAAGCAAGCAAAGCAATCAGTTGTTAATGCTCTTAAGTACTTATTTTTTTTAGGTATTTGCTGTTGGTTGTTCCTTTTTTGGGCACCATCAGTACAAGATAGTTTGACAGGACAAATTCAAACAAAACATGATTCCAAATTAAAAAACTATATTAATGTAGTCTTATGTTCCCATTAAGGAAAGAAATGATCCATAGCATAGAATAGCTGTGTTTTAGATAAAATTTATCAAAAGGAAAATAACTGTATGAAATTCTTTTTATCGGAGAAATAAACTTTCAAATTATGTATTTAGGTTTCAATATTTTGCAAATAAGTTTAAATAGCCTAACATTCAGTTATAAAAGCAATAACACACTTCAAGTAATTTAAGCACAAAGAAGTAACCCCATTCAAAAGGTGGTTCAAAGCCCTTGGCTTTAACTACCATAGAATTTGTTAAAGTAGAATAATACAGTGTTTCAAAACAATTAAGCCTCAATCACCTATTTGGAACAAAATCCTTGACTCAGTAATAATACAGTTGTTTAGGTAACTACATAGGAGGAATTATAAAGAATATACTAACTTCAAGAGAACATTTTATCATTATTTTAAAAATAATGAATCACTGTTATACTGGGGAGAACAATTTTACATTTTCTAAATGTCTTCTTCCATAAAATTAATAGTTAGTTAGTTAGTTCAGTCGCTCAGTCGTGTCCGACTCTTTGCGACCCCATGAACCGCAGCACGCCAGGCCTCCCTGTCCATCACCAACGCCCGGAGTTTACCCAAACTCATGTCCATCGAGTCAGTGATGCCATCCAGCCATCTCATCCTCTGTCGTCCCCTTCTTCTCCTGCCCCCAATCCCTCCCAGCATCAGGGTCTTTTCCAATGAGTCAACACTTTGCATGAGGTGGCCAAAGTATTGGAGTTTCAGCTTCAGCATCAATCCTTCCAATGAACACCCAGGACTGATCTCCCTTAGGATGGACTGGTTGGATCTCCCTGCAGTCCAAGGGACTCTCAAGAGTCTTCTCCAACACCATAGTTCAAAAGCATCAATTTTTCGGTGCTCAGCTTTCTTCACAGTCCAACTCTCTGTATTAAGATCAACTAAATAACAATGGTCCTGACATCCTAATTTCTGTTTTTTTTTTCCCCCCATTATGATAGCTTTTAGACAGCAATTGGTATACAGAAGATGCCCGGTGATTGAAAAATTTTGAAACATAAAATTTTTCTGATTTTCAAGTTATAAGCAGCTTGTAGCTTTTAGGGTTGAGGTGTGGCCTGTCTTTAGAACAGGTGGTCTGTTTGTTCTAGAAGAGACCCCTTTGGAGGGTCCTTTCAGGTGTGTGGATTTGAAATTTTAATGAAGAACTAAATTAAAGAAATCCAGATAGAAAAATGTGAGACTGAAATCCTGTGTTGTATTATTCATGATTGCTAAGGAAGTGTATGTTTTAGCAGAACTATTTAAATATTCTAAATTTTCTTTCCTACATAGAGGTTTAGATGATATATCTGAAAATTATTGTTTATTCTTAGACAAGTGAGAGAGATTGTGTGTGTGTCTATTCATTCACGTGCTGTCTCACAGGGGACTAGGAGCAGGAAAGAGACCATAGGAATATGGACAGGCAGGCCTGATCTTTACTCAAGAATGAAGAAGCTACACTTTGGGAACCGCGCTGTCGCACTTTCCTCACGGTCAGGCTCTGCCTCATAAATGGAAGCAAGATTTTCCCTGAAGGAATCCACTAGGATCATGTGAGGCTGGAAAGGAAGTGGGCCTTAGAGGGCAGCTTGTGTTGTTCACTCGCTAAGTTGTATCCGACTCTCTGTGACCCCATGGACTGTAGCACACGGGGCACCTCTGTCCTCCACTATCTCCTGGGGTCTGCTCAAATTCATGTCCATACAGTCAGTGATGCTACCTAACCATCTCATCCTCTGCCGCTCCCTTCTCCTTTTGCCTTCAGTCCTTCCCAGCATCACTCTTTTCCAATGAGTCAGCTTTTCCCATCAGGTCAGCAGGATAGGGCAAAAAACCTCTCTCTAAAGACAAGACAGTGAGTTGAGAATGAACCACGTGAGTTGAACTCAAGTTGGCTTTACTCGAAAGCACAGCTTACTGAGGCCCACAAGGAGGATAGCAAAAAGTGACGCTGTGAGAAGGTTCTGCAGTGGACAGTGACTGGATCTGAGCAAATGTATTTTACAGGTCTACAAGTGAAAGTCGCCCAGTCGTGTCCAACTTTTTGCAACCCCATAGACTATACAGTCCATGGAATTCTCCAGGCCAGAATACTGGAGTGGGTAGCCTTTCCCTTTTCCAGGGGATCTTCCTGACCCAGGAATTGAACCAGGGTCTCCTGCATTGCAAGCAGACTGTTTACCAACTGAGCTATCAGGAAATACCTGTAAATGTACTTTAAGCACACCATTTCTGGTGTTAGTAGTTAATTGCTACAGCCTTAAAACTGAAGTTTTATTCTAATCAAGTCTCTAGGAAAGTTTTATTAAAAGTCACAACTTTAGAAATGGGATAAACTATCTATCATCTGAGGGAAGGGTATAAGGATGTCCTTCCTACTAGTCACGTCCTTGTAAAGTTGAAATAATTTTCAAATAAAAAGCTAGAAAAAAAGTTAATGCTCTACAACCTATTATCAGTTGTGCTGGTTGGAAGAACAAGAGTACTCTATTTTTTTTAACTTGAAATATAATTGCTTTACAATGTTGTGTGAGATTCTGCTGTACAATGAAGTGAATCAACTATAGATACACACACACATATATCCTCTCCCTCTTGAATTCCCCTCCCAGCCCACCTCCATCCCA